CGAGCATTCAATGCAGAGGAATCCACCATCTGGCCCATCAAGGGAGTTAAACAGCCCCCTTCCCACATGTCTATTTTTTCAACTATTATTCTATATGTGGAGCAATAGTGAGTCTAGATTTTCTCTAAGAAACAAACAAAAAACCACACACACATCAGATACAGGCAGAAATCTGTATGGTTTTGTACCTTACTAACAACCGTAATCTTCCCAATTGAGGAAAGGCTTCCCCAGAACTCACACGTTTAACAATAACTGCATCCCCACACATGTGAACTGATTATTTAAACAACTTTGAAAGATGAGCTTAGTTGTATATTTCTGAACTACAAATTGACAGTAAGTTTGAGGGGCAACCCACAGTACAGAAAAAAACTTAAAGAGATCTCCTGTCAACAAGACCATCTTAAAAACAAAGAACCAAACAGAAAACCTAAAAATTATGGCCGTTGAAGACCATGTCTCACCAGCCCTTAAGTGTTCGGTTTGTCATCCTCTTTCTACAATCTTACCTATTTACCAAAGTTAGCTGTAACTACTTCTGCAAAACTCTGGCTTTACCTGTTCTTTTTAAATATTATTTTAATACGTATACTTACATAACTGATTCAGAAAGCATACAGTGTATTCCATTCCTGTGTCTCTGATATTAAAAGTCAAAAGATAATCAATGGTAGGGTTTAAAGTTCACAGCACTGGCTAATTCCGTTTTTACACAGTGCTATGTTGCATCCCTGCAACTAAAGGAACTGCTTAGAATTGCTTATGAAGGTCTCAAGCTCAGACTAAACATCTCAAAGCTCAAAGAGAAAGTACATGTAGTAAAACTGTCTTCATGTTTATACAATCACTATTATTATTTGTATCAAAGAAAGACTCGTATTGGGATTTTATTGTAATAGATTGCAGATTTACATTTGGAAAGATCTGCCTTTCAATATATCAGAAACAGTCTACAGGTTAGATCTACCATCAGAAACATAAGTATTACACAAACGTAAAGTGCAACAGAACCTTGCTGTATCTCTAAATATTTTCATTTATAACCAGTTATAATTGTAATTGATATTGTTGTAAAAGATCATATTACTACAGCTGTGAAATTTATGCATCCTACCCAAGGCATACAGCTAATAAAAGAGCGACTTGGAGCATTTTCCTTAGCACAGGAAATCTAGTTCTCATCTTCTAATTTCGTAGACACTGAATCCATGCCTATTTGTTTGCTTGTACTTCAGCTGTTGGGTTCATAGGGTCACATGAACAATTATAAGATTATTTTGGATAGTACTTAGGGGCCAGGAAATTCTCAGAGTTTTCATGACTGAATTGTTTAATAGACTTATAGGTCAGGCTACAGAACATGATTTCATGAAACAAAATAACTTTGTTCTATAAAGAGGCATTTCCCACTTTAAGGGGTTTTTTTAACTACCTAGAAATAGAAAAGGCACCATTCCTTGCCCAAAGTAACAACAGAATATTGATACTCTGAACTTAATTTTTAAATGACACATTTAATCTTAATTTACTGATAAAAAGTGAGTCTTCATTCATCACTGCTCACAATGAACAGTCAATAACAATCCTAAAAAAAAAATCTTGTAAATTTTTA